TCTTACGCGATATGGCAAATTCACGATTTGTTCGAAAATCCAGCTTCATTTGCACGGCTTCGTTCGAACTGCATTTTTTTTAGAGCTGAAAAGCCGTGAACCAGTAAGATGTTTGTGGACGGAAACAAGTAAAAATTAGCTTTTTCATAATTATAAATAATTATAAAAGGAATACAAAGGTATTTACAAAAGTAAGCGGCTGCGTATTATGCACATTTTATACCATACAGTTTGTAAGTCTTTATTTTTTTAAGATGTTAATTTTAAGATGTCTTGATTTTTTTAAGATGTCTTAATTATTAAGATTTTTTTAAGATGACGCGAAAATCGCGTCTAAGTGTGACAACACTCAAAACGATGCAGTGATATCTCGAAACAGCTAAAGCTTATCACAAGTGCTTCTTTCGTGGAAATCACTGAACTCATAATCCCTCCAAAAGTCAAAGTCATAGATAGAAATGCCAGTAAGGTCACCATTAGGCGATGCCGCACTAATTACAAAAATTGGAAAAACTGCCAGATAATCAGTTGATTATTTGGACTATAAATTAGAGCTGTTCCACGGATCTTCCTCGATTATTTTAGCGAAAATTTTAAAGTTAAATTTTGCTCTCGATCATTACGAATACACTTTTTATTATATTTTTCACGAAATATCTAGGAGAAACAGAATGAGGGACGATCAGATATAACAAACTGATAAGGATCACTGGAATGCGCTCATTTCATTAAGTAAAAACAGTGGAAAAAACAAAAAAAAGATGAAGAACACATATGGTCCTATGTTGAGTTTACACTAGATGCAGTGGAATTCAGATCCAAGTAGGAAGGGAACGCTGTCTCTAAGGGTACTGAAGCAAAAATGAAAAAAATAATAATGAAATAATAACATCCTTTCGTATAAGCCCATGGAAGTGAAAAAAATTATTTGCTCCCAGAAAAAGCAGAGAAAAAATGCAGGAAAATACCTCGATCCTTGAAGTCACGCATTGCGACCTCACTTTCCTGCAACAAAACTTCGCCTCTCTGAACGCAAGCTGCCACCTCCTCACGTACCTCACGTTTGAATTTCGAAAAAGCACTTTCGGACTCATCATACTTGAACTCAGCACCAAGCAGTAAACTCATATCCACTGGATCGTAATCCGGCAAGGGAACATTACTGATGTTGAACTCTTCCCCAATATTCTTCATCATTACATCTTTCATCTCTTTTACCTCAAATTAGGAAAATAAAAAAACAAAAATTCAGATTGTTTTTATAGGCAATGTAATTACTTTCAAGGGGCAAATCCCACTCAAAATCATTCAAAAACTGAGGAACAGTGATTTTTAAAAAAAAAAAAAAGCGCTAAATTAAGTGCTAAAAAATGCTACAGTCTAGCAAATGAGACAAGAACTGAGGGTGAATGAAGTTTTAGAAAAGCAAATTTTTTAATAAAAACCTCGTCCAACGTCTTGAGAAGAGATTCGATTTTTGAACACAATTCTTCCGGAAATTCCGGTTGCGGGATTCTAAACATATTACTTATTGGAAAAAAAAAACGAAAAAATATTTTTCCTCAAACAGCAGCTTTAATTTTTATTAAAATATTAGAACTTTTTTACGTGGAGAGAATAAGTTCGTGAAATTTTGTAAAGCGTTTTTGCTTCGAATCACATATAAACACATATTAGTAATAACAGTTCTGTTACTATTACTGTTATTATTGCTATTATTACTGTTATTATTACTGCTAACATTATTATTATTATTATTATTATTATTATTATTATTATTATTATTATTATTATTATTATTATTATTCCTTGTATTACATATAATTGCTGTTGGTGTTACCATTATTGCTGTTAATTTGAGCATTTACAGCATAATTATCAATGACGTTAGTTTCGGCTACCATCATGCTTATAAGCAGCCCTTTAAAAAGGGAATCAACAACAATCTTCCACCGTGTGGTTGCAGTTGGCATGTGCTATCATTCAGGCTAATTTCGAAAGCTCTGTCTTTGAAAAGTTGTGAATACGGAGGGGGTTTGTTCTGACAGTTTCATGTATTTTATGTGAGAAATTTTTCCTATGCAACTCAAACAAACACATTCGCCGAATTCTTGTGCGCTAAAAGGAAAAGCCATTTTGCAGTGCATCCCGATTTACCGCAATAAAAAAAAAACCTGAACTGAAAACGGCACTCACCTTTTGAGTACCAGCAAAGCTTTTTTCAACCGCATTACTGTGTTCACAAAATTTTTTCGGAGTGCAGCATCTGCCGGTAAATCGCTTTCGTAAGAACTTCCTGGTTGCGGCAGTGCTGTTTCTCGATAATCGTGTATGAATTTATCTAACTGAATATCTTAAAATGAATGTGCCAGCAAAATTCGACTTGGGAAAAGAAATGTATCGCATGAATCGTATGACTCGTTTGATAAGCCGATTGTAGCATTCAGGCTGACCTTGGATGTCAAAGTGTCGAAGGCGTATTAAATACAGAAAGCAGGAAAGAATGAGGAAAGGAGACAAGAATGAGATAAGACATTTCGGTCCATCAAATTTATCGTAACAGAAATTTATTGTAAAATTTTTTTTTTTAATTTATTTTTGGCGTACTGCTAACGAAATTCACGTTGAAAAAGGAATGGATCGCATGTCACCTTT